TGGTTAAGGTCATCATAACTGCCATTACATTCACATATATCAGTTTCAGAAAGTTTTATTTTATATAGGTAATCGTTTACTGTAGCATGTCCAAAAAGGCATCTAACGTACATAGTACAAATTTTCCGAGAGATGGGGTTTCTGTCACTTGGGAGAGTAGATGGAAGAGTTGGATATATACTGTAGTATGTATTTTTGCTACTGTTAGTAAAGAATTGCCCCTCAATTGCCCAATTAAGTCTAACATGTTTCTTCCTAGTTGAAACTAAATCCCATTTGGGCAACTAGTTGTATTCTATACCCACTAAGGTAGTGTCTTTAGCCAAATGGTCTACTTTTTCATTGCCTGGAATATTAGAGTGACCTTTAACCGACACAAAGTTAACAATTCTTTTTAGAGAAGTTAGGATCCTTAGCTTTTCAAACGCATCTACAATTATTAGTCTGTTGGTATATATGTGTTTAGAGAAGTGTCTTAATGCTAGGAGGATGGACTGTGAGTCAGATAAAATTATATATCGTTCGAAATATAATGTGCTTTTAATTATCCAATCCAACGCCTAGACAATAGCTACCAATTTAGCTGTGAATATTGAGCAATCTGATTTTAATTTGTACTGAAAATAATCTTGAATATTGCTTCTAGGGCAATTTTTGGGAGTCTATTCTCATCCATTCGTCTTACATGGTTGTAGCACATCCTCTTGCGGTGCCTTCCCCATCTTACAATATCTTGAATTTTGCACTGCTCTCTTATGTTTGTATTTCTCTCTCTGTCTCTTCTTGTTTTCCCCATTATTGTTCTTAGGGTTTTTATTTCGGCAACCCTTAGCATCTGTTTCGTTTTGTTAGTATCTTCGCGCACTTCTATGCCATATGTCATGATCGGTCGTATGCAAGTCTTATAGATTCTAATTTTACTATCTGTGCGCATATACGGATTTGATCAGACTATCTCCCGCAGACATCCTGACAGTGCAGATGCTTTGTTGATCTGACTCCTCAGGTCCTTTACTGGGTCGTGGATCGTTTACTTACATCTGAGCGGATCTTTTGCTATTGTCATACATTTAGTTTTGTTGGTAGAAATGGTCATATTTAGTAGTCGGCTTGTTTGAAAGAACTGAAAGAGCTGCCTTTGGAGATCATCTTCTGATTCGGCAATAATTGCTGCATCGTCTGCGTAACACACCATACCAATTCTTTTGTTGCCCATTCTATATCCGAGATTAAGAGATGTTACTTTGTTGATAATTTTGCCCATGAGAAGATTAAACAAGAAGGGGCTTAAACTGTCGCCTTGTCTAATTCCTCCCGGTGTTGGAATATTTTCAGTGGATTCGTCTCCTGCTCTAACTTTGGTTACGTTGTTGTTATTTAGTTTATGGAGTATCTTTGTTATACTGGTCGATGTTTCATTTTCTATTAATATATTTAGAATGTCTCCCAGGCGAACTCTGTCAAATGCCTTCGTCAAATCAATGAAGCAAATATACGCTGGCATGCCAAACTCTATAGCTTTTTTGTGCAATCTTAATAAAGTTAATTAGATCTCTGAAGAGTTATATGATAAGATTAGGGTTGGTGCTATTTTTTTGGAATTGTAATAGACTGCAATTGACTGTTGGAATTTTTATAATCCAAGGTGAAGATGAAGATATATTTTTTTATTGATATAAAGGTGGAAATTGCTTCCAGTTATAGTGAAGTCGTTTTACCCTGTCGTATTTCGGATTAACGCCCGAAAAATAATTTATGACTCTAGTTACAGCCACTCTGTTATGCTTTCCCTTTTCTACCTACTTTGTGGTACCGAATCTCCTACTAGTCGGCTGTAGTACTTGAGGATAAATAAAGAGAGCAGCTGATTACCTGAGGCAAATCTGAACAAATTCCGTCTGGGGATAGCCACATCCACTTTCTTTGAGTTTTTTTTTCTTATAGAATGTGTTCATTGCACAGTATTTGTGGGCTTGTAGGAAGTTAACCAAGGTTTCTTCCCTCTCATTTCTAACTCCAGAGCCGAATTGTCCTATATAGTTTTCGTTTTTTTGTCGTTGTCGTTGATCGTTGTCCGATCTTAGCGTTGAAGTCTCCCATTATCATCATATACGTACTGTGATAATTCGTGCTAGTTTCTGCAATTTTCTCATAAAATTTGTCTATCTCTTCATCGGAACCCAGACAGCACAAGACATCCCTGGGACGTCCATTTTATGCCATTTTAAGGTCCAAACGTCCCGGGACTTCTTTTGGACCTCCAAGGGACGTCCCATTAGGGATGTATTCTAGATGTTAACTGTGTCATTTTTTTACTTAACTATATTTTTTACAAAATATAATATCTTGCTACTAAACTTTATTTTAAAAAGTTATATTTAGTTTTAAATACCATTGATTTATACGAAAACAGACAGAGGTCCCTTTTAGAGAAAAATCCTAATCCTATAGCAGAGCTGTATCTCTAAAATTTTGTTCTGTAGTGGAACTGAAATTTAAAAATTAGAAGATGAAAGAATAATGTGGTTATGTTTTAACAACGCTTCTATTTATCTTCTTGTATTTATGTTTCTTTTTAACGCATTTTTATTTTTAGCTAGCATTTTCAGAATCTTTTATTTCTCGAATTATAATCATTGTGGTTGTGGATGTTAGAAGTAGGTTATTAGGTTAGTTATGTTAGAAGTAGTCATTAAGTAGGTATATAGGTAATTTTTGTGGTTGTGGTGTGAGTTGCTACATGTGTAAAGTAAGTATGAGTAATGTACTTAAAAATAAATAAAAATTCATCTATTTTTGCTTTTCATTTCATTAGTTTTTTGTAAGTTCCCTTTAGGTCCTGTATACATCCTCATTTAGGTCCTGTATTAGTCCATGTAAACGTACAATGGATGTCTCCAATACATCCTTCTTAGGTCCTATATAAGTCCGTATTAAGTTCTGTATAAGTACTATGTACGTCCCCATGAACATCACTAGGACGTCCAGGGAACGTACTTTTTGGTAACATTTAGGTCTTATTCAACGTCCCGGGGACGTCCAAATTATGTAAATGGATGTCCGGACATTTAATGAGGTATATCCTTCGGACGTCCATGGGACGTACTTGTGCTGTCTAGGGATGTGCTGCGGTTGGAGCGTATACTTGAATAATTTTCAGGGAGATGTTCTCGTTTGCATTTAGCCTAATCATTGCAATTCTTTCAGATATTCCTACGAATTGCTCTACTTTATGTGCATATTTCTTGGAAATTGGGAATCCTCCTAGGTTTTGGTTCTAATTTATGAAAATACAATGGAAATATGATTTTAAGAAAAAAAATCCAACTTGGTTCCTATTGGCCATAGAAAGGTGCTGTTTTTTTTTTGAAAAGTGTGTTTTTCACCAGCGTTTCGTTTTTTTTATAAGGCATAAATAGAAGCTGAAGGAAAAAAATACAAAAACGGACTTCTTTTGAAAAAAAACTGTTTTTAGGTCTAAACTACAACATAAAAAAATTTCGTCGTTAGACAAACAATAAACGTGTTGCAATAATACATAATATTATTTATATTTGTAAGAAGTGTTAAATATAAAAATACATTTTAAATCCAATTTTTTTCTTTATGCATGATTGAACTCTGTCGTTGAAACTTGAGAAATGGAAAATTAAATTTAAAATCTTTTATGTGTACAATGCATGCTCCATCACCAGTAATTAGAGTTTGTACGAACAAAACTGTACATTTGACGCAATGCGCAAATTGTTTTCTTTATTGAAGGAAACTAACGCCTGGTCGTGTACACTAAAAAAAATAAATGTTTTGGAAACCCAAATCAATTATATTTCATAATATTAGTTTTCCGAAGTATTTAAAGTCATATCATATCATTTTATAATCAAAAGTCCTTATTTATTCTTCAAACAATTAAAAAAACTATTATTTCCAACCTCTTATGGGACAAATACACGCAAATTAGAAATGTTTAGAAAGTTGTCATTGTGACATCAGGCTTAGGTAGTCCATTTACATGATGTTTAAAGGAAAAATATAGTCCATTACATAGATTAAAATTAGTCTAAGAAAAAATAAAAGAAAAAGATAAAATTGACGATTCAAAATTGACAACGCATGACAACAGACAGATCGATGATAGAACGATTTTTGACGTTTGAAGTTGGGACCGGTGGTTGGGAGTAGCATGAAATGAATCATAATTGATTAAGCTGTGATCAAGGCTGCCAGGTCTAGGGATTTATCCCGAATCTAGGGATATTTCAGTATAAAAGGGACAAAGGGATTTTTTTGATATTTAGTGTAAAATCTAGGGATTTTTGACCGGCTCAAATATTTACCCACATAGGCCTATTATAATAACATTTTCTTTAATTCAGGTATAAAACCACTTCGTATTAACAGTATTAAATACACGATCTTTCATTACAACTAATTAAACTAACAGTAAACTACTTAAAGATTATATTATCAGATGTCGCTAACTGTCCACGTTCTTGGAATCTTTATTTTATGCTACCAAATAGATTTCTGTCAAAAGTAGATTCCTATATATTTTCAAAAAGAAGCAACTTCTGGAGCTGGAATTAGGGGATTTACAAAAGTCCTAGCTTTTATAAAATAAATAATTAGGGGATTTACAGTAGGAATCGGGTGATTTACAGGATTCGTGAAAATCAATAAATAAAATTCTATGCTTCACCGTTTCATTTCTCAAGTTGTATTTTGTATTAATTTTATTAAGTAAATATGTAAAGAATACGTACGTTATTCCGTTTTTGTTAAATTTATTCAAATTATCGCTATTGTACTGTTTATGAAATAAAGGTTTAAAACAACAATTTTTTTATATCAATGTTATTATATTAGGCAACTATCAATACATCCCATAATTTTATTCAGAAATAGGCAACCATATATACATTTATTCCAATCTAGGGATTTCTAGGGATATTTAAATGTTCAATTTAGGGAGGACAAAAATTTTCACCTGGCAACCCTGGCTGTGATTAGTGTCAGTGTGATGTGATTGTAGTTTTACAAGTGTTTTGTTTATTAACCTTTAATCTATTTAATTTTAAATAATGCAGTAATTAGATGTTTTCTTAAATCTTTTTGTGTTCCTTTTGTTGTGCTCATTATAATTTACTAATCAGAGTTGGATATTCACATTACAAGTAGTTAGTAAATATATTTTCAGGCTGATCTGTAAGTACACATAACTTTCTAAAATGACAATGCTAAGGCAACAAGTGGACATTTTAAGAGATAAGTCTCCACGAGCCATATATAAACTTATAAAGCAAAATTTGATAACAAAGGAATATGCAGATTATCAGTTTTTACAAAACAGTCAGATCCCAACTATGCACTTCCAGCAATCTCTTCCTCGTTTACCAATTCCAACATTAGAATTAAGCTGTAAACGATACTTGGCTGCACAAAGACCTCTATTGATTGATGAGGCTTATAGGAAAACAGAAAGTAATGTAGAGCAGTTTAGAACAAGTACTGGAAAACAGTTGCAAAACTTGTTAAAAAATTATGATCGAATGAATAAACACACAAGTTATATATCAGAGTTTTGGTCTGATAGTTATTTAAGAGATCGTAAACCTATACCAATAAACTACAATCCAATGTTGTCTGTGCATAAAGATCACAGACCAGCTTATAATGACCAGTTGGTTAGAACTACTAACTTGATTATTAGTTCTCTGAAATTCTACAAGTCACTAAGTGCAGGTATTCTAGAACCAGAAGTTTTCCATCTAAATCCCAAGAAAAGTGATACACAACAATTTAGAAATGTCTGTAGCTTGTTGCCTCCTTCAGTATCATGGTATGGAGCATATTTCTTCAAGGCCTATCCTCTCGATATGAATCAATACCCAAATCTATTTAATACTACAAGAATACCAGAAATTGACAAAGATAGACTTGTGTACAATCCTGCTGGCAAGCACATAACTGTACAACACAAAGGCCATTTTTATGCATTTAGGGTGCTCAATGATAACAATGAAATTATTTCTGCAAATGAAATTCTAGCAAGCTTGAAATACATTCTGGATGATCCTGTTCCCAAATGTGATTTTCCTGTTGGTATCCTTACTACATTGGAAAGAGATAAATGGGCATCTTTAAGACACAACATAGAAACAAACGGGAATACCAATGCTTTTAAATTTATTGATTCTGCTCTGTTCAATGTTTGTCTTGATACCGAAAATCTAGGGGATGATCCTTATGGAATCGTAAGAAATTTCTTACATGGGGATGGAGAAAACAGGTATAACTTCCATTTTATATTTTTTGTTTTTCAATTTGTTTAATATTAGTAAAATCTATTAAATGCAAGGTACATAACAGTATATGTGATAAATTTGTCCAATGACTCACTCTTTTTATACTGTGACTAAGTTGTTTGAAATTTTTTTATTTTACATCATAGTTTGTAAAGAATTATTGTTTTGTTAACATTTTGTAAATTTTATAATAAAACTTACTTGCATTAAGTAATCTACATATGTTTTGTTCTTTTTAGATGGTTTGATAAATCTATTTCTCTCCAAGTTAGCAAAGATGGGCATGCTGCAGTAAATTTTGAACATTCTTGGGGCGATGGAGTTGCTGTACTGAGATATGTGCAAGATATATATAAAGACTCTATACAAAATCCATGTGTCACACCAGAGACAGTTCAAAACAGCTCAAGCAATATTGATAAAATAATAAGACTGGGTAAGGAAAAATATAATTATAATATTTTGTTACTGACTCCAAGTCAGTCATGGAGTCATATGTCGCCATGTTACCTAATCCATCGGTAACTCTATAATCCTAAATCATTATAACATAATTTTAAAACTAAATGTAATTAAACATCTGTTATCGGGTTTTTACCCACATATTTAATCTTGGCGGCTACATTCATGTACTCCTAGACACTGATGATGGAACATGGTTTCCGAAAACGTTTTGTCTTTTTAACTTAGCCTGTTTGGGCCTAAAATATATACCTATTACAAAGGATTTTTAATTAAATTATTTAAATGAATATGGACTTGTCTATTTGTAAATAGATTGACTAGGACATAAGCACATTTACTAGGCACTTCTAATTTAATAAGTTGATCAAGCAGAAGGTCAGAAGTAGATTCAAACAGTTGTTTATTTTGTACTCAGCCAGAGGCATTCTTTAGTTGCTTTATGTTTTATATACAATGTCGCTAAAGAAGTTTTCACTTCAATAATTTGTTGATTTCTATTCAAAGGATACAAAATGTTTGTACAAAATGAACATTTACACACTAGAATAGGAAACACATGTATTGATAACTTAAACTCATTATATTGTATTTTAGATTTGCAATTAAACAAGGAAATGGAAGTCAGTATTACCCAGGCAAAGCAAGAATATAAAAATACTTGTAAAAGTCTGGATATAGATTATTTAATCTTCAATCGGATTGGTAAGAATGTTTGTAAGAAACAAGGTGTTAGTCCTGATGCTATTATGCAGTTGGGATTTCAACTTGGGTATTACAAAATGACAGGAAAATTTGTGCCAACCTACGAATCTTGCAGCACTGCAGCCTTTAAACATGGCAGAACTGAGACTGTAAGATCTTGTACTAATGCCACCAAAGTAAGATTTTTTTATTTTCTTTGCTTATTTATTGCCATCAAATATGTCTTTAGGTAGCTAATCAAAATTCGTCTACTTCAATCTCTAATCAAACTGCATTTATTCCATTCTGCTGTACCACTTTTCCAAATTTGCTTCATAAAATCCACTGTTGTTAGTTTTTGTGTTTTAAATTTTGTTAATATGACAATCCTTAGCAATCAAAACACAAATAAAGTTTTATAAGCTAATTTGCTGGCTCCTATTGAGGTGGTGAGGTCTTCTCCAGTGACAAGACCACTTTAACTGCTTTTCAGGTCATTTGGCCACCTCCTTTTGAGTCTCCTATTGGTTTGGTGTTCTAGCAGAGGTTGGAGTAAGGGGTTACTATGTGATTCCAGTGCTTCATACTGTATTTAGTGATTACATCCTTAGGTCTTCATGAAGTGTTAGCTTTGACACATACCAAGGTACATCAGCTATCGTTCGGAGTATTTTTGATTGGCATCTTTGTATTAATGACTGTGTTTGACTTGCTCATACATCCCCAGAGTTGGATTCCATATGTCCAGATAGATTTTATGACAGTTTTGTATACAAGGATTTCCTGCCTACTAACCAGTTTAGATCTTTCATTCTTAGGTCAATTTGTTTCCGCTTCTTAAGAATATGTTCTTTCCAGATGAGTTTTGAGTCAAGATGTATTTCTAGGTATTTGGTGCTAGAGGATTGGGGAAGTTGGATATTGTTAAGTGAAACTGGGGGACACAAGTCTCTTCCCAAGGTAAAAATCACTGGACTGATTTTGTTTCATTCATTTTAATTCTTCACTTCTAAGACCATGTCTCGTTAGATGCTATAATTGGATTTTCATCGGCTTGAAGGATGACAGCATCATCTGCAAATGTGCCAGTGATGGTTTCATTAGTGGAGGGTAGATTTGCTGTGTATAGCACATATAATATTGGTCCAAGAACGCTGACCTGTGGAACACCCGATTTTATAGGAAAATTACTGGAATTACTTTCATTCACTCTTGTACAGAATTCTCTCCCACTCAGATAGGATTTTAACAGTTTCAGATACGTAATGGGTAAATATTTCTTGATTTTGAAAATTAGGCCTGTGTGCCAAACCTTATCAAAGGCTTGACCAACATCTAGAAAAGCAGCTGTGCAGTAGTGTTTGCTTTCCATTGCAGAATTTTTGGTGTGTACCTGTCTATGAACCTGCTGTATTGTCGAGTGTTTTTTTCGAAAGTCAAATTGGTAATTGAGTATCCATTCCTCCGTATTGGGGTCTGTTAATTTTTGTTAACAGTAACTTTTCAAGTATTTTGGATACGACTGGTAGTAGGCTTATTGGCCTATATGATGAAACCTCGTTTGGATTTTTTCCTGCTTTTGGGATTAGTATTATTTCAGCGGCTTTAAAGAGCTTTGGCCAGTAGTTTAATCGTATAATAGCATTGAAGATGAGAGTAATCAGTATGATTCCTTTATGTGGTACTTCCTTCATCATCTTGGATGTTATTTTGTCCATCCCAGGAGCTTTTCTACTGTTTAAATATTGGATTTCTTGTTGAACTTCATTTTTGGTTACTGGTCTGATTACTGGTATGTTCTCTGGAATGTTATTTATGTCCTTTTCAATTTCAATATTTGGAGCGTCGTTTTTGGGAGTAAATACTTAAGCTAGGTGCTCGGCAAATAGCGTTGTTTTTTCTTCATCACTTCTGGCCCACTGTACTCTTGGTCCCCGTTCGTTTCTCATTGGAGGTACCGGAGTCTTGGGTTTTTTGCAGTTTTTGATCGGTTTCCATATTGAACCGGTTTAGATTTGTTATGTAGTTTATAAATGACAGTTCTTGTGCCTCTTTAAGTTTGGATTTTAGTTGATTGCTTAGCCTGTTTAGTGTAATCTTATCTAACCTTCTAACCTTATGTCGTGGTGTTGGCTATTATTTATTACATACTGTGTGGAAATTGGTTGAGCTTCAATATTCTGAGGTTGCTGGTGTTGTTGTATGTATGTGTTGGGATATCCTGTATAGTAAGTCCATTATTTGTTGACAACATTTGTTGATTGTAATTAATTCCTGGCCCATTAAAAGCAGGTAATGTATTCATTTTTTATCTGCTAGTCAATTAGTTGATCACTTTTATCATTACACTGATAAGCTATTTTGTTTTTTTTTTTTGTTTTTGATTTTCACTTTCCGTATAGTCTAGTCGGGATCTGTTTTGGATTGGACATTTTCCATAGGAAGCTATTTTTTGCTGGAATCCCTTCAGGATGTGCCCAATATCGATAATCACAATATGCGCCAGTCGCAAACCCTGTGCTAAATTTTTTATTTAACAAAATCTGAAAACATTTGAAAATTTCTCATTTTTTTGCTCCTATTTTCGTTTATAATTCGGAAAATATTGATCCTAGAGAAAAAATTGTAAGAAGTTAAAAGTTTCGTTATTTAATTTTACACAATATTTCGTTAGCTAGAAATTGAAAATTTAATATTTATTGTTGAAAAAATAGCAATAACTGAAAAAAAAGTACAAAAAAATGAAGTTAATCCTTTAAATGTTTTCGACATTCTAAACTTGACTTACAAGCTCCATATTCCGCCTAGAAAAACCTTTTAATATGTTTAAAACGTGTGCTAAATTTTGTTAAGATCGGTCGGATAGGTTTTGCATAATAATTTTCCAGCCTACTGGAAAAAAATCGCAAATTTTCAAATTAATAGTAGGTCCTAAATAAGGCCCTCAGATAGTTGCAAATTTTTTTACTTATAAAGGAAGGCTTAAACTTTCAAACGTTTTTTGTAAAATTCAAATCGGTTCACTAGGAGAGTCTAGAAAATTTTTTAAAGTTTTAAACATTTTTTAGGCTTATAAACAAATTGAATAACTTTACGAGCTTTAAACATATCAATTTCAAAATTTACACACTTAAAGAACATCAAAACACGCTGCTTTAAAAAAAAGATACATTCAGCTTACTGGTTGCCGAGATATTGAAGGTCAAAGTTGGCATACATTTGCCGTGTAACCATAAGTGATAGAGGGCTCGTTTTTTAACAAATACCCTCGTCTTGTCAAGTACTTTTTATATGAAAAGTTTTACGTAATGCGCTTCATGACAACATCCATAAAAAAGACAAATAAAAAACCGTTTTCGCGTAAAATGTCGCTCGGAATGCATGAGAGGTGATGGTGGGGGACATTCACTCGAAATGTGAATCGGCGAGTTCAAAATCATAGCGCGCGCTAAAAATTGCATTATCTCGGCTTCTTGTTAACCAATTTTGCTCTTTTTTTTAATCGATGTCTCGGACGACAAGGATTTCAAGTATCATATTTTCAATTGTTTTCAGATTTTGTTAAATAAAAAATTTAGCACAGGGTTTGCGACTGGCGCATATAGTGATTATCGATATTGGGCACATCCTGAAGTGATTCCAGCAAAAAAATAGCTTCCTATAGAAAATGTCCATTATGGTCTGAATTTCTACAGATCCCGCCTAGTCTAGTAGCACTATTGATAACAGGAGCAATCGACTGTATACTACGAAAGTCAAGCGGGTACTTTTGTGTTTTAAATGATGAATTTTTCAGGAATTTGCTTTGGCAATCACCTCAAAGAACAAACCTTCAGTTTCTGAGCTTAAACGCATCATATCGAAATGTTCTAACATGCACAATCAACTAACAAGAGAAGCAGCCATGGGACAAGGGTTTGATAGGCACTTGTTTGCTTTAAAGAAGTTCGCAGAAAAGACCAACACTATGTGTAATATATTTGAAGATCCTGATTTTGCTCATTTAAATCATATTATTCTTTCCACAAGCACTTTGAACTCTCCGGCAATATTTGCAGGGGGCTTTGGACCAGTAGTTAAAGATGGTTTGGGTGTAGGGTAAGTACTCATTGCTAACATAGGAACGTGCATTGTCAGAAATTGTAATAATATGTTTCTTTTCATATTCCAAAATTGACTTTTCAGGTACATAATCAAAGATGATGAACTTGGGGTGCTAGTAACAAGTTACCCTCCATACCATCGCAGCTCGGACTTTATTGAGTCACTAAAGGGAACGTTTGATGAACTGGTTTACCTACTCCAAAAAGACTAAAGCTAATGTATTTATAACAGTATTGAAGGTAGCGGAATGGTGATAAGCAATATGGTAGAAATTCCGCATGGATATTTTTTATATTATATATTTACAAGTTTTTACCACTTTTACTTTTATATATTATATTAATAATTGAAGTTGATTGGGAAAATAGTTGCTGTTGAATAAAATAATGAATATTTTAAAGATAAAGTCACTATTTACAGTATTGTTTCATGCTTAACATCTATTTTAATGTAGTTTTTATGTTCCAAGTATATTTTGAAAGTATTTATCACTGATCAACAGGATGTACTGACTGAAGTAAGTATTTTACATATCATTTTCCATTTTTTTTTTTAATTCAATGCTGATATGTCTGCTCCAGTGATTTCTCCTCTGTAGGTATCCACCCACAGAATTTATTCAAACTTTTATTGTAATTCTGCTCCTTAGGTCTTCGTTTATCTTCATAATAATCATTTAACTCATAATTGTCATAATTTTTCATTTTTTTAATGGATTTAGTTCCTAGTGATATATTTTCTATGTTTGATGTTGCTATTTAGTGTACAGGGTGACACGAAATTATACCTATAGTATTTTTGCATTTATAATTCGAATACAAAATAAAACTCATTAACTATTTATCCCAGTCAGCTCTGACCACTATCCAATTGTAAGTGCCTTTTTAAAACAAAAGTTACGTACTATATAGTTTTAAGAAGACTGTTCTAACTATGAGTGTTATATTTAAAATGTTTTAAAAAACTTTAGGGAGTGTTATTTTTCGTTTAATATAAAATTATATTACAATGTCTTGTGTTTTTGTTTCCTTGTCAAAGTTATTAACATTGGGTAAATTTTGATACTATACATTTTACATTTCATCATAATTTACAATAAAGATAGCAAAAGAGAAAATAGAAAAAAGAAAACACTAAATGTTTTAATACAAATTCGTTTCTCGAAGGAAATCTAGTACATTCTGAAAAAGTTTTAATGGGCTGAGAATGGCATTTGTAAGACCTTGTATAGAGTTTTATTTTTGTTGTTTCAAAAATTGCTCTGACTGTTAACTTGCAAACAGCGCTCTATGACATGTTGTCATATGATTGCCAAGAAAAACAAATAACTTTGGCACCAGATAGGAAATGGAGTAAAAGGATTAAGTCTACATAGAAAAGAGAACGTGAAAAATCGAAACAGTGAGCATTACTACTATACAGGGTGTTTCAAAAAAGGTAACCTCGTCTCTAGGGTAGGTAAAAAACTAAAAAGTAGTTGGGGTTTGCTTAGTAAAAAATTTTTGTAACGCCATCCGTTTTCAAAATACAGGTCTTTGTAGAAAAAAAAATTTACGCATTTTTTACGATTTTGCCGAAACTACTGGCAACATTGTAATGAAATTTTATACGAATATGTTTTGGAAGCTGATACATCCCATGAATTTGTTTTTATATCTGATTCTCATAGAGGGCGCTAGTTACACGGATCGTACTAAGTATTAGTCAGTATAACTTTTTTAAGAGTATAATTATTAATCAAAATTTCAAGTAAACTTAAACATCATTCAATTTTACACAAAAAAGGTACTCTTAAAACTCGATACTGTGTACCGTTTTCGGAATATTTTGATTTGAAAATTATGAAGTAATAATTGATGCTGGTATAAAATAGTTAGTAATTACACAAAACTCACAAGAAGAAAATTAAATTAATGACTAAGAACATAAAATAAAATTCAATTACAGTAAGTGTTCAAAATACCCTCCGTTTTCGCGAATACACAAGTCTATTCTTTTTTCTAAACCATTACCCTTCTAAACGGTAGAGGATCAGCTATGATGTCATTAATTTGACGTTGAATTCTTTCTTCCAATTCTTGGCGTGAATTTACCTCTGTATCATAGTCTTTTTCCTTAATATGCGACCAAACTGCGTAGTCCAAAGGGTTAAAATCGCATAACCGAGGAGGCCAATGAATCGGAGCTTCTGCACCTCTACCAATCCATCGATTCGAAAAATGACTACTCAACCAATTACGACACCTATCAAAGTGTGGTGGAGCTCCATCGTGCATAAAAAATAAAGATCTTCGCTCGTTTAGCGTTAAATCTTCCAATATCTCGAATAAGGAATTGTTTAAAAAATCAAGATACATATCACCATTTAAATTTCCAGGTAGAATATGATAACCTATTAACTTGTTACCTAAAGTTGCTGCCCAAACATTAACTTTAAATGAGTGTTGGTAATGTGATACCCTTTTGACTCGTGGATTCTCATCACACCAGTAGAGTGCATTATGAAAGTTAAACATACCTTGGAGCGTAAACGTGGCCTCGTCCGTAAAAAGAATACATTTTAAAAAAATTGGATTGTGAGCTGTCCTTTGTTGCAATGTTTCACAAAAATCCACTCTAACCGGTAGATCATCTGGCAAGAGCTCTTGGACTTGTCTGTAATGACAAGGATGTAATTGCTGCTCTGTCAGTATCCGCCAAGTACTTGAAGGAGAAGTATTTGTTTGTCTTGCTATATTCCTTACGCTAACTCTTGGATCTTGATCAAGTAAATTTAGAATATTATTTTCTTTATTAATTGTTCTTGGTCTACCAGAATTTATTTTATTTGGTCTCACATTCTCGGTTTCTCGACGACGTCGTTCAACGGCTCTAAATGTTTTTTACTTGGTAAGTTTCTTCTAGGAAACTTTTCAGCATAACGTGTGACAGCTGCACTGGAACATCCTAAACATTCGCCTTAGGTTAATAACATGTCAGTGTATTCAACATTTGAGTACATTTTGATTTGATTTTACAAATAACAAGGTTTCAAAACTCTAATTATTGTTTATTTATCGTCCTAACAATCAATAAATGTCAGATTTCCATGGTACACTTGAAGAAAATAGAGGTATACCTATTAGAACTTTATCATTACTACCAGCATCAGTTATTACTTCAGAATTTTCAAATCAAAATATTCCGAAAACGGTACACAGTATCGAGTTTTACCAAGAGTACCTTTTTCGTGTAAAATTGAATGATGTTTAAGTTTACTTGAAATTTTGATTAATAATTATACTCTTAAAAAGTTATAGTGACTAATATTTAGTACGATCCGTGTAACTAGCGCCCTCTATGAGAATCAGATATAAAAACAAATTCATGGGATGTATCAGCTTCCAAAACATATTCGTATAAAATTTCATTACAATGTTGCCAGTAGTTTCGGCAAAATCGTAAAAAATGCGTAAATTTTTTTCTTCAACGCCCTGTATCTTGAAAACGGATGGCGTTACAAAAATTTGTTATTAAGCAAACCCCAATTATTTTTCATTTTTTTACCTACCCTAAAGACGGGATTGCCTTTTTTTGAAACACCCTGTATAGATTTTTATGGTATTTATTAATTTTAACAACTTAAACACATGTAGAATATACCGTTTTTTACAGGCATATGCCCAAGGGGCCACTAGTAATGCCACAATGTGCAAACGGAAATTTAAAGCAAGGGTATGAGTGTACGGAACTGTCTCTTCAACACTACAGTCAATTTCATCGACATTTTTGTTCGTCCGGACATAAAATTGCCTAAGATACATTTTTTCTCGAATATTGTGTGGCTCAAGCTCCAAAAAAGCAGGTAAGCAGAAAAAGACGCAGACCATTTCTTATTTTATACCACAAACATGAACTTACATCCACTGGAAGTCGCCGCGTCAAATTGAAGAAAGTAGACAAATGCAAAGAATTTGTAGAAATAACTTAAATGCAATGGCTTTGCCCAGAGAGAGAGAGAAGAGGAGGTGATAGACGGTCTAATCAGGATTCTAGGCGTACTGAATCAGTAAAATATTACATAAAAAGTCTAAAATCATTGGAATCACATTATGTAAGAGGTAGATCTTCTATGCAATATTTAAGAAGTGATCTCAGTATAAGAAAATTACACAATAATTACAGTAATGATGGGAGTAATCCACCAGTGCGATACGAATTTTTTCGCCCTATATTTAATAAGTTCTTCAACTTAAGTTTCAAAACATCAGCAACAGATGCTTGTTCGAAGTGTATTCAATTAAAAGAGGCTATTCAAATTGAAAAAGATTTGTCTAAAAAACAGACATGGATTACTCAATATCGTGTACATACTTCAAAAGCAAAATCCTTTTATACAAGTTTGAAAACACAAGCTGACGATGATTTGATTTTGTCCTTTGACTGCCAAAAAAAATTGGTTTTACCGAAAGTGCCTGATCAGAGTGCTTACTTTTAGTAGGTAACTGGCCGAGGAATCCGAGGCTATGAAAGGGTCCAATCAGGTAGCTTCGGCATTATTTCATCGACAAAACACCAATTTTGAAACCACTATTTCTCATGTCAGGTTATTTTGTGATGGCTGCGGAGGCCAGAACAAAAATACGATAGTTATGGGAATGTTGGCCTATTGGCTTAAAACAGAAGCACCACGACATATCAAAAAAGTTACAGTGACGTATCCTGTCGTTGGACATTATTTTTTACCCCCTGCCGAGTTTTTGCATCTGTATACCCCATCTGCATACATTGCAACAGTAGTTGTACTATATGTTGGAATATCCGCTGTGTATAAAAGATATAGAATTGGGCTGAGAACGCTGCCTGAGTGAATAGGATATATCTTAGTGTGCTCGGCACCGTGCTTCACCAGGAAGTGTCTATTTTCTATGTAGGATTTTAAGAGCTGGAAGTGAGGATAGGGTAGGAGCTTCTTTAATTTTATTTTTAGTCCTATGTGCCATACCTTGTCAAAAGCCTGAGATATATCAAGGAAAGCAGCAAAACAGTATCTTTTGGCGTTAAAATCCTTGTTTATTTGGTTGACTAGCCTATGCACTTGTTCTATGGTTCGGTGTTTGTCTCTGAAACCGAATTGATGTTCTGGAATTATTTTATGTTCGTCTATTATCGTTTTTAACCTTTCTATTCTTATTCCTTGGTGACATGTCATCGTGCCATACGAATAAAGGAAGAAGGATTAAAGAAACATTCAAGGTAAAATTAAATAAGGTACAAGTTAAAAGGTATAATTTATTATAATATAGCTAAAACTATTAAAAAATAACACAAATCAAAGGTACATCTCATACCCGTAACTTAATTTTTGTTACAAGACAGAAGAACACAAACCTGCTAAGACGATTACTCAATATTTGTAAAAATAGTCATTTACAAACATAGTAAAATAAGAAGGTAAAAATCATACACGCATATCACCATTTTGAGAGAAGATACAGAAAGAAGTTTAATAGGAAAATGATACGTAGAGCCACATCTCGTGGCATGTTAAATTAATAAAAAATTTCGAAACAGAGAATATTATCAAATATACAGGGTATTATAAAAAGTTAAAGCAAGTTAAGTATTTTTTAATATACATTGTGGAAATCATTTATGGAATAAAATTGTTTGTCATTATAAAAAATAATAAAAACCTCTTGGACACGTTAATTTTTAAATTTAAATGTACGCTTTTTAAACATAAATTTAAATGTACAGGGTGATGCACGCAAGTCTGGTATAGTCCATAATCCTTATTTTTAATGAAACACCCTGTATATTTGGTGTACAAGGTGAAATTTTGAAATTAATAATTTATCACGTGTTATGGTATTATTTTAAATTAGCTAAATACAGACAATACACTTCCACTCTAAGTGTTAGTATATTGGGGAAAATTTCTGTTTAGTAACCGTGTTAACATTTTTTATCATGAATAGGTAAAAACTGTCTAGATAGTCAGCTAATTAAACTAAATCGGTAAATAAT